GTTTAGGGTTTAGGGTACTGCCTCCGCCCTAATTCTTCATAAGTGGTTCAGGGTGTATGATCTAGTTGGCAGCAATTACAATGTTGGAAGACTGTTTTAGGTTGAGGGCAGTATCCAAGAGACATTCTTGGAGGTACATGGGTAGTAGTTATGTGGGAATACAATATGGACGAAGGCACATATAATCTGACTTGCAAGACTTCCGACTCAACTCTACCCTCCCAGTACTGGGTGGAAACATCAACAACCAAACCCTGTAGACTTCTCTACTACTACGCTACAGCACCCTGCTCCGCTATGCTTCGAAACTACCACATTATACTACTTCCTTTGGAATTTTACACTAGCTTCAAGACAAGATTGCAGTTAAGGAACNNTATATATATATATACCCATTATTGAAACTTAATTTAAGTTCTTTAACAGCAACTCAGAAAATCTTGGACCTCAGCAAGGCCGCAGTCAGGCAACCCGTCAACCCAGCGCCAAGCACCAAAACTCGAGGTTTGGACTCGCATGTAGACGGCCTTTTCCTGCCCATGCTTCGCAGGGAATGGAGGATGGGAAGGAAAATGGAAATACCAAAGATTGATTTGGGTTTCAGCGCTTATTCAGCTCGCCTAAACCCTAAACCCCAAACCCTAAATAATAGTTTCCATGTTCTTTTCCACTATCCCTATATAACCCCTATAAACCCACGGACGGTGATACCTCTGCCAGGCGGCGCACCCTATGCTCCCTCCCACAACAGCGAGAGTTCGGCAGGCCATGAAGCTGCGGCGAAAAGCAGACATGGAAGGTGGTGTGATCAGCAGTGGGGTTTAGGGTTTTGTCAAGGAAGGAATGGAAAAGAACAATGAAGCTACTATAGTTTTCTCGATGGCCCTCTCGATAATATAGGATTACCCAAGGAACGCACTGTTAGTTCCTTTGGATATCTGTTGCATTACGCCCCCAGTATTCAAGGTCCACATTGGGTCTTGAGATTTGCATTGAAAGAGAGAGAGCGAGAAATCTGTGACAGTAATCGACGCGAAACGACGCGAAGTCTTGATGAATGTGAGCTTTGCAGTCTGTCTTTGTTTTGCTGCTGCTGCTGCTGTGCCGCATTTATGATGGGATGCATGGCTGCGGAGACATGCATGTGGCACTTATTATATACATATATATATATACCCTATAACACCCTTTAATATAGTAGCTTCCATTTTCTTTCCAACTATCCCAATATACCCCAACGTATACCCAATATAGTATAGTAGTTTCCACGTTCTTTTCCATTATCCCAATATATCCCCAACATATACCCAATATAACCCCTTTGAAACCTGGAAAGCTTCAAAGCTCGAAAGCCTGTTCGTCAAATGGAATATATTGGAACCCCTTGGGGGTAACAAGATGTAACAAGGTTTAGGGGTTGAGGGTTTAGGATTCAGGGTTTAGGGTTTAGGGTTTAGGATTAAGAGTTTAGGGTTAATAGTAATAATAATGGAGAATCAAATTGAAAAGAAAATGGAAAATGAGATGGAAACCCTACAGTACATCCCTTTGAAGGGGTATATAGGGATGTTACCACCAAAAGTTGCGAATCAGGTGGAAAATGAAATTGAAACTGCTATTTAGGGTTTAGGGTTTATATTGCTTCAGAGCTTCTGTGACTTGCCTCACCGCCATCTGCGCTATGCAAGCCACAGCTACGGCAGCCCATTTTCCGATTGGCATGTGTGGACTGGGTCACACAAATTCATTCCTGCCTGATGGGTCTGAAGACATTTCTGCCTTTCGGCACAAGTTTCAAACTTGGCCAGCCCACCCTTCAAGCGGATGCCGCTCTCGCAGCCGGGCATTAACATGGGGTGTGAGACATCTCTGCTCAGGTGTGCCCTGCAGGCAGTCTGCGCATTTGCAGCCTCTGCCTTAGGCAGAATCCACGGAGCCTGCGGGCGATTGCTTCTGTTGGCTGAACCGCACCTTAGCCAGAAAGCCAAGCTGTCTGCTGGTCCCACAGAAGTACAAGAGCTGCTGAGTCTCCCTGCTACTGAAATAGCAGGACCCACCGGAGGCCCACTAGACACGGAGGAGTGAAGGGAGTCGCCCACTGAACTGGTGGACCTGGACACTTGGGCCCCTCCCATCCCTCTGCTTTCGGCTACCTTCCCAAAGTAGCTGACCTCTGCGCCTCTTCGACAGCTCGCCGCTTCATGAGGCTGTCCAGCCTTCTGTGTTGGAAGCCGTTCACTGCTCCTCCGAAACAGAACCATCTGAGGCAGCAGCTCCTGGGGTACAAGTTCTTCTCGCACCCTCGTGCAAAGGCAGCTTCAAGCGCAAAAGGAAAATAAAAGAAATCTCAGCTTCACCGTGAGCCCCGCCTCTGCCGGTGTCGCTGCTGCTCCTTCAGCTCAGCCTGTTTGCGCATCTGCCGCGCCTGGCGAAGCCTTGGCACCACCCCCCGCTGTGCAACACAGAGACCTGTGAGACTTCAACTTGGGACGCAGCTCCTCCTGGGATTTGTGATGCACGCTTGCCTGGGTTGCTGTTAAGGAACTTAAATTAAGTTAATATATTTCCATTTCATTTTCCATTTTCTTTTCCATTTGATTCTCCATTATAGGGGGATAAGTTCCTTAACAGCAACCCAGTTGCTTCATGCGTTGCAGCTTTGCTCGCAGGTTTGCCCAGCTTGCTCCCTTTTGGCCCAGCTCTGCGAATGGCAGGGGCCTTCAGCCATCACATCATCACATGCCATCACACCTTGCATCCTGTGCACTGCGTGCCTCTTCGAACAACCCTTGGGCAGCCTGACACAGCAATGGCCACGGACCCAACTTCCGACACCGTCTGAGTCCAGTTGATGCTGATAGGTGCCTCTGGCACTGATTGCTTGCTGCAGCTGGGGCTTCTCTCCAACCTGAGGTAGCTTGCAATGAGGCGAGCTTCGGATCAACAACCTATCAATCCCCAAACGAGCCAGCTATGCAGAGATTTCCCGGAAGAAGGCAGAGCTTTCCGGACCTATCATTCCACCAGCACACGCTCCGCAGCCTTGCTTGGTGGGTCCTTCTGGCCTCCTTCTGCTCGGCCCTCTGCTCAGCTAATTTCACTTGCAGCTCCAGCTCCTGCCACTTGGACCGGAGAAATCTGAAATCTATACAGACCAGCCCGAAGGGCCCGCCTGAGACCAACTTCTGTATCACCCGCTCAAGATACCACTCCGCAAACTTAAGTGTCTGCTACTTGACTCTCTTCGACACAATGCCACGAATGGGCTGCTGACACCTTCAGATTCGCAGACTGCTGTCCTGCACCTCAGCCTGCAGCGACTTCTTCTCGATACGGAGCCTAAGTCTGCGCTTTTTGCCGAGAGGCCACAGACCCTAAACCCTAAATAGTAGTTTCCATTTTCTTTTCCATTATCCCTATAAAACCCCAATATACTATAGTAGCTTCCATTTTCTTTTCCATTATCCCAATATGACTCCTATATAACCCCTATATAACCCAAGGTAAGTTTTGGGGGAGGCCACAGAAGGAGACCACTTTCCAAGTTCAGGGCTCCTCAAGCTCATGGATCAGCAGAGAGTTCTCCTGCGTCTTTCGCCGGGTGTCTGCCTGCGCCAAGGCTACCACTAGGGGTCATATTGGGATAATGGGAAATAATATTGGGATAATGGGAAATAATATTGGGATAACGGGAAAATAATGTTGGGATAATGGAGAATAAAGTGGAAACTACTACATCATAGTAGGGTATATTTAGGGTATACATTCCTTTAGATATTCCCGGGCACGCTGCACCTGCCTTGCAGGTGGCTTCGCCGCGCTTGCTGCGCAGCGCCAGCATAGATGCCTTGCGCTCCATGACCTCACGGGTTCCATGTGAGCCATGGTCTAAACTCCTAGTATCCCCCTTAATAGCCCCTATAATACTCCCCTATATAATCCCCCATATAACCCCCTTTAAGGAGTTTAGAATATAGTTCATGTGTCGGGCAG